GAGGAGGAATGCGATGTTCATAGCTCCTCAGAGCTTTGAAATAAGGCACGTGACGGGTACGTGCCTACTGCCTACTTTCTGAGGCATGCACAAAATAGTGGTTCTTTATTTACGTTCTCGACCATGCGATGATTAATTCTAGTCCCTATTGTAGTAAAAAACGGTCCCTTATTTCACATTCATTCTTGTTGAAGGTAGCGTTTGCTGGGCGATGAACACGGCTGAAATGATAAATGTTATTTATTCGTATAGGTAATGCCGTAAATGGTTTCAGTACCAGAGGGGCTGATATACCGCGATAAGATTTCAAAGGCATTCATTCAGTGTTGTAGAGTTAGCATCGCAACAGCAACATCATCTAAATTTGCTAGGACTCGAACAAGAAATAGAGGGAGAGGGATATAAAGAGGCAGAAACAGATCGACAAAGATAGAGCGAGCGAGAAAGAAGAGAGAGAGAGAGAGAGAGAGAGAGAGAGAGAGAGAGAGAGGGGGGGGGGGCGTAAGGAGGGAGGGGGCGTAAGGAGGGAGGGAGCGAGGAGGAAGAGGATAAATGAGCTGGGAGCGAGTGGAGGGGATCGTCAGAGGTGCACAAATAGCCCAGACTGTCTCCTACACGGTCTCCGATGGCTCCGGTTTGTCTCACCGATCATCCTTAGGTATATCCCAACATATCTATACTTTCAAGTAAAGCTGGTTATTTACATTACAGTTATTAATATTTACAGGACGTAAACGCTATTCCTGAAGTGTTTTTATTTCTGAAGCTATCCGCAGATATATCGTCATTTTTTAAGAAGCCGACAGACATACGGTATGCGCTGATTTGGGCAAAGTGCGCAGCAGGACTTGGTACATACACCTCCACCTGAAATGCATACTGGTGGTGTATAGACTAGAGTGAGGCGGTCTGGTTGTTGACTGTGTCTGGAAACACTGGAAAGTCAAGAACTACCCTCATAAAACCACCGGGACGCTCAATTAATTCCTCTCATCCAATGAGGGTTCAGTTCCACATGGACCAGACGGGCGTCCATCTCAATCTGCCGTCCCATAGCGTCCCTCTCCCGTTTAGTCGGGCAGTTACTACTTGGCGGGCTGAAGGTGAAGTGACCTAACGCTGCAGTGTGCGGTGCACATCAGTGTTTCTGTTTAGGAATATGAAACTTTAAGGAGTGTGTAACAAGTTTTTTCCTGGATCAACATTACTTCATTTAGGTAAGAAAACATTATTTGAGGACGATTTTGCAATATTTGCTAATGGGACGAAGCCCATTAAATTGCTATGGAATACCTATCATATTGAGGACCACAAACGTTCAGAAAACGTTTTGACAATAGGCTTTAAGAAGCGGCTTTAAATCCTTTTATAATCCATCGCTGACTACATCTACACCGCAATCTATACACATTTCACGTGCAACGCTAATCTCTTCGCTAATACAGATCCTGGTCTATTTTTTCTTGCTTAGCAAACCTCAGCTGTCTTGTAAAATTTTCACGACGCATTCATGCATTACAGGTTAGAGGCAGATAAATCCGATATTCCTGTTTTCTGCGTGGCTCTGTGAGGTCGGTCCCTGCCATGGATGGTGTGAGACCATCCATGCTGCCGATCGTTCGACGCGCTAGTTTTATTGGGGGTTATATGACCGAAGGACATCGACGGCCGACGGAACTGCCTCGCCTGACGGGGTCACCAATGTGGAACACGCTGCCGGTTTTTCCGAAGTAAAACTGGAGATTTGCTAGACAATGTTAGACTAAGTGAAATTAATGTAGTTAGCCATATGAAAGCAAATGTTTGACAGAAAGTAAGCGGCCATTTTGTCGCTGCTGGAGACAACTGCCGGAAAACTAACTGCATTCCCGCAACATCCAATTACTCATCGATACGTATCAAATGAAGCAGGGCAGATTACCATATTATTTTTCTGAGGATGTCGGAATATAACAACATGTTAAAATACCAAAAAGGTGCAATATCCTTGTTTATAACACAGCCTTTGTTCCGAGTCTGTGCCTTTGGATGGATCTCATGTGCTTAAAATTTTCAGAAAAATGCACTAAGTATCCATTTGAATTATTACTTATGCCAACATGAATGGTAGAAGAATAATCAATTGTAATTAATACATACTTTACGGTGCGTTCACTGGAGATTAACCGTGCATTAATTCGAAGGTAGCCGTGCACCAATTTAAATTGGTGCACGCGCGTGCATTGATGAATTTCTCGACTGAAGCTTTTTGGAAGGGTCATTGACTTTATTCTAAGAATTCCCATAAAGGCCCTTTTAGTGTCTTGGACTAAGTTTAATTTTCATTTAAATTCGCACCGTTAAGCATGTATTAATTAGTTTAACACATGGTTTCCGTGCATAAATGGTTTTAACGCACTCGTGGATGGAATGGAGCACTTGTGCGTTAATGCACTCGTTTCACTCGTGCATTAACACACGCGTGCTCCAATCCATCCACGTCGTGCGTTAAAACCATTTACACACGGGAAACCATGTGTTAATATATATTTGTTGTCAAGTCTAGATGTGTTTTCTCCACTGTCAATGACTGATTTCTTCTTGCTGAGTAATGTTTTGCAACCTATTAATTTCTATGCCAGTGGTGGCTCAAATATTGCTGTTATAGCTATGCAATGTGTACCTAATCTTATATTGTTTGAATAAAGTTAGGCAAATTCAACTGAAATCATGACTGTAATATTTGAAATATGTTATCTGATTGACCTTCAACATACCAACATATAGCCTGGGCAAGGATTATGTCAAAAATGGCAAGGCAAGAGGAAAATAGAACAAGTCAGATTGTATTGCCACTCCTTTAGTCAGAGAATGAGGACAAGTTATAAGCAAAAAACACAGATCACCCTGAAATCTTGAAATCAATGTCAAAGCCTACCTGACAACTTGTATGGTCACCCTCTTTTTAAAGTAATGCAATGCATTAGGTAGGTACATTGCTATAGGTGTGAAATTTATGGAGAACTTCACAAACCCCATTACAAATCAGTTTTATAAGCATATGCTTCAAATTGCTATGCTTCCCACACTAACTGAAAGGTTTTTGGGCAAACTCATGAGCAAACTCCATGCCAGCATATCTTGTTATTGAGTAAACATGTTGACTACTTAACTGACCATTCCTTTTTCTATAATTATATTAATTACAATTCTACACAGACCTGTACCTAGACAATTCATGACACATTTTCCACCCACAAAATTATTACCTACACAACTGAACACAAAGCCTATGTTTAAAATAATCACATATCTGTTGCATTTTTGCTGTATAGGTACCTGTCTATAAAACATGAATAATTTGATGTTGTGAGCCTTGTGACCAGATGAATGTTTGTGGTATTGGTGTTACAACAAGGAAATTGAAAATTTGTCATGCAGTTTAGGGAAGTTATACCTAGGTTATGTTCAAAATGTAGTGAAATGCCTTCATTTACTAAATCTCCACATTGAAGAGCTATATATTCTTTTGAAGGAAATTATTAGGTACCTATTTACATTAGAGCTAGGTAGGTAGTTACCTGCATGTTAGCATCTTTCAGTGTTGTTCTTTATCAATCAAAATGAATGGAAATTTAAAAAAAAATAAGTACCTACAAGTGATCAGATAGGATAGGTAGAGCAATTTTACAATTCATTTGACTTTCAGTTTCAGTTCTCATCAAGCCAATTAGGTTAGGTACCTACCAGCACCTCCATAATCGCTCCCCAAAATGCCCCCTGCCACGAACCTCTTATGAAGAGTTTATAGAAGTGCAGGCTGCAGATTTCCGGCCCATGCAGAGTTTTCAGTTCTTTGGCAATTCCTTAACTCCACTTGGAGCTCACAACCTTCTATTACCACACCATCACATCACAAAATATAATGTGGAAGTCCTTATACACTTTGCTTACACTGCACAAGACACATATCCACAGCACAGTACAGCAACTGAAGCGAGCTGTTCACTGTTACAATTATCTTTCAAATTCAACTGACACCAATAGCTGGTTACCACGCAACGCGCTAGCAAATGGCGTCAGCTTGTCCCACGAATGGCGGTTGTTGTGGAAACCAGCTGACGAAACTTTACCAGAACCCATTTTCGAACAGGAGTTTTGTTAAGGCGCCCCAAGAATTTGTGCGCCGTTTTTCGAAACATGCCCACCACTTTCGCAGTTTTCCATCCTACATTTTACCTACACGGTGTCTCATGAGACACAATGTTAATCCAATGGGAACTGTCTCGTGGGTGTCTCATGGAGGAGATTTGTAGGAACTGTTTTTGAAGACACGTAAAGAAATGTAATGACCAAATACCGTTGACAGCTGATTGTACCGACCAATTGCTACCAGTTAGCTGTTTTTATAGTCATTTTTGTACAGAAAACACAAACTGAAATCTGTCTCGCGGCTACCCTTTTCGGCTCTTTCCTGTCTCCTACATTGTAGGCAAGTAGGAAGGTTTGTGCACCTCTGGGGATCGTCTCTATATGAACGAGAATGCCTAAGGAAAATGTGCTTACTGAACAACAAATACTCACCACCAATTGTTGACAACGACAAAAATACCTATTTACCTATTCACAGCACAATAGATAGGTAGTATTTACATCAGCGTTCAGTATATTTTTCTTTTTCTGATAGCGATCAATGACATTACTATTGTGGACATCGCCTTGACTTTGTACTGAGCGTTTAGGATAACATAATTAAGTTAATACTTTCCTCCTATTTTAGGCTATTCTAGTATCCTGCTGGAACATTCAATGTAAGGAAGTGTTGGTAAGGTTGACAAGGTGACATGCAAATGACTGCAACTTTTACCGCACAGCAGCAGACAGTTGGGTATATTCACTCTGGCGTCGAACGTCTTAGGAGCACCCACATCGGCGGGGGTAACGGCATGGGCCAAGGAGTCAGATCTTATCTACCTCTGATGACGGTCGATTAGCGCCTGGACTGACATATCTGACCCTGGTCAGAACTCAGACACATCTGACACATATCAGACCCATTAGGTAAAACCGACAGGGGTGCGCTGACTGCTTAGTGCTTGGTGACTTAAAGCTGCTTCGGGAAGACGGAGTACTTAAAAAAAAAGTATTCCACTTCATCCACAAGTAGCCACCGAGCCAGTGTAAGTGCGAGATTATATGAAAAGTGTCAGCACCCTATCGCAAAACTATGCCGTAGTTCCATTCACGAACATCATAGTGCATCTGACGCGAGAGGAGCATGCATCCCAGGTGTGCCACTCACCAGCCGTTCCTTGGTATGGTACTCGAAGGACGAAGGTTCTGAGGACCTCTAGTGGCCGGAGGCTGCACCAGAATTCGATGCGACTATAAAGGCGGCGCCTCCCCTCAGCGCCAGAGAACCACCACGGATCGTTGAGCACCCGATCCAGGATCTGGAAGGAAAACAGGAGGGCGTCGGATTCGGAATATTGGACAGAATGAGTGGGTAGAGACCATATCAAACTAGCAACGGATCACCTCGGATTAGCCGCAGTGGTGGATACTGATTAGGGGGCTCGTGCGTCACTGCTAGCGTGATGTCACCATTCTTCGCGCTCCATTAAGCCACATATGCTCAAACCCTGTGTACTGCGATATCCAACAATCGAAACGATAGCCTAGTTTGCACGATGTTGCATTCCAGCCATTCACCCAAGCTCAAATAAAGCCATGCTAGTCTTTGGGTTGAGGAAAATGTGAAAACACGGATATCACTAATTCATTCAAGGAATCGTTTGGCGCCATAACGGTTCGCCTATGCATTCACATGCGACGGGTGAGCGCGTTCGCGGCGCCGCGGCACATGCTCATTTGGTACGCATGAGATGTTGTGACAACGCGGTACCACACGGCACGCCCGCCGCCCTTCTTTGATACGACCAACAGACCTACACACGCGGCGGCTGCATTGAACTAGCGATTCGCCGGCGCCCGGCTCGGCGAGGCACTCACACCGGACGGTTGGCGCTTCCTTACAGAGGCCGCTGGCCTTGTGGCGGAGGCAAAAGAGCGGCGTTCGCTGAACACTCGACTGCAAGTGAAAGGGGCTGGCCGCGTCCGGCAGCGCCTGAAGCCGTCCGTAGACCGGAGCCGTGTCCCCGAGCATGTCATCGGGGCTCAGGGCACACGCGACGCCCGACCGGGTCCGGTTCACGGTTTATATGGGCCCCTCCAGTTTTGACACTTCACGTGGAGTGGCGGGCCAGGACAATGGCGCAGGTAAAATAACGAGCTATTCGGTGATAGTCGAAAGGAAAGCACAAAGGATTTTACTGTGAGATCCGAAAGAAAAACTGGTTTTATCACACAACATTGTTATTTGTTAGTTACAAATTATATGTCATAATAGTAAATGACCATCGTTGTCATTGCAAGCAAACAGACGAGTGCATCCGCTGAGATCTTGGCAGCTTAGGCAGACATGATGTATGATGACACATTACACATAACTAGCAGAGATGAATCAAAGATATTTCCTCGGTATGATGCAATGACAATCCGCACAAATTTTACACATACTTCATGCCTAGATACCGCACCTTTCGCCTCTCAGGCTTTTTATCTATAGTAGTGGTAACATTTGTCACAAAGATCACTGAAGCACCAGTCACGTCCCGAAGACATAAAATTGCCATCTTTTGGGAAAACATATTCACTATCGACACAGCCGCAAAGATGCATGTCATTTCACAACGGTCACAAAACTTTTAGATGTGATATGCCGTACATTAGATCAGTTTTGACTCAAACCCTGCTTTCACTTCTCCCATTCAACTATACGCTTAACACTCCATTGTGGTGGTCTTTAAACGTTTCATTATTGTTTCGTAGCATTGTTCTTCTAACCGGACTAACCCATTTCTTCTAACCGGACTAGCCCATTTCCGTATCGCAGACAGGTTTTGCAACGCCTTAGTGTAAGATAAGCCAGCTCAGGTATGTAACTAAAAGTCTAACCACGGTTATTGCACAATCGGCTAAAGCCGGGAGATTCCAGAGTGAGTATGCAGAATCAGCGAGTCATGCAACAGAAAGCTCAATACTAATTAGGATTTATTACCAAGCTACCTAAGGAGATTCATAACAGCTAAACCATTTAGCTTGCTGAAGATGTAACTAAGCAGCCAAGCTCCGTTTCAAGCTAATAAGCAGCTTATCATCCCAATTCCATAACACATCACAACCGCAACACTTGGCCGTGAAACGCGCCCTCTTCTGAGATCAAAATCGATGTCAGTAGGGCTGCTAGTCTTCTGTCGTTCACCGGCCTCTCCGTGCAGTCCACACAGCACAGCCACTTCCCCGACTGTCGGTGAAACTCATCCCCTTTCTCCAACGAACCTTCAGCCGCACGGCCTACCCTAAGGTCCACCACGTACCCCGGAAGGCATCGATTCAAATGGGAAGCCGCTACCGTCAGAGTTTCTGTCTGCGCCGTCATTCCCATCGCCGATCTAGTTCTGTCAGCGGTCTCACACGAGCTGATTTCAACCGCCGCTGATGATCGAATTAATACAAGACTCGAGTAAGCGTAACTGGCGTTGACTAGCTCTGATGAGGAGACTGCAGTGGCACGCGGCAGGCGAGGGGAAAGAAGACGTACCAGGCTATCCCGCATGTCATCCAGAGTCAGGTCCGTGGAGACTATTGCAGGACGAACCACCGTGTCTGTAAAGAAAAAAGCGGCGGTAAATGTTTGCTATTTTGCTGGGACTCATGCGGGTGGATTAGGGCTTTCTGTTGAGTGCAGTTCTAAGCGCCCAACAGAACAACAACGTAGTATTGTAAGTCGTATAGGTAATGTCCCTATTACCCGGATGCGATGCGCGTAGTGCAACAATCCACGGCATGTCGTAAAAAAGATTTGCCCGACTACCTCCGCAACACATGTCAGGTTTCGTTATTACCGTTTCATGTTCGACGCACCTGTTCTAGCGCGATTCAAAGAATGTAAGTATGCGTGACCATGAGACGTCAACCATCAGCGCTTCGTATCAGTTTCACATTCCGAAACATGTTGGCGATCCATCAAACATTAACGAGTAGCGCCAACAACACCAAGGCCTGGCCAGAGCGCGGGTTCAGCGATACGTCGTTACTAGCCGCGGACCGAGGCGGCAAAGTTGCCAAGGCCACCCGCACCTTATATGGAACAACCGGTTCGAAAACAGACTGGCAGGTTCCGCCACAGTCACGTGATGATCATGTGACAGTCACGTGACAGTCCGCTAGGCACTGCCCATGCCGGATGTGCATTTCTAAGCTGTTCTTTCACCACCAACCGATTAGAATCGCATCACGATAAATGTAAAACCACACAAAAACGATAATATAGTAGTGTGTTTATGTAGATCTCTGGATAGTGGATAGCGGATCATATGCATCTTGAAATAAATATTCTATAGATTGACCGGAACCACAACTGGAACCAGCGACATTCACAGATAAATAAATATAAAATACATATGCACATACGCCTACATGGCGACTACGTGGAAATTGACTTATACTTTAAAAAAAGTTTAGCGAAAAACAGATATATTTCTTGCAATTCATTAATCAATCGCATCGCTGTCGTTAAGCGCCCGAATATACTATTAAAGCCCAAATTCCATCTCATCTAGCAGGCATAGCTCTTAAAACTAATACCATTTACCTCCAAATGTCAGTTCATCTTCTTTATCAGTTCTACTCCACACATTCTATATTCCCTCCCCTCTCCTCACCGTCTAGGACGCCGCGGAACGCGTGCAGGTCACGTCGGTAGGTGACCTTCCAGAGGTCAGGCGATCCATCCAATAGGCGGGCAGCTACACCGGCGTGGGTGAGAGCCAGCTGGAGGCACTCTGTGCCGTGATCCAGCTCGTGCTCAGAACACTGACGGCGGAGGAAAGCGATATCTTTAGTGGCGGCCATAATGGACGACTGGGTGATGTGCAGTTCTGAAACTGAGCTTCCGATATAGTGTCAATCACAATGAACCGATGAACATCGATCAATGTCAATCATGCTGGAGTGTGGACTGTGGAGTGGGTGCAAGCTTTACAAAAAGTGAAGGTGATGCGATGCTACCGATGATATCGTGCAAGGTGAGTTTGCTATTATCAATGCAGGATGCGTGGAGCACCGGAATGCGATAAAAGTCTTGTGCACCATATCATACGAGGACTGCATGTTGCAACGGACCGTACGTGCGATTATAATATGTCATGAATTCACTGTCACACATGATTCCACAAACAACACATGCTCAGACTGGTTCCGAAGGTTGCTACCAACCATAAATAGTAGGTTATATAACCTAAACATTGCCTGCAGCGCAAAGTAGAGCATGGAGTCATGTGAAATAGTGGCTATTGATAATGGCCCTTCGCACTTTTTTAAATTGGTACATAGCGTGCCATGTAGTTCCGTGTCAAATTAAAGCGGGGAACATAGGCCTCTTATGCGATTTTTATTGAAGAGGCTGCAAACACTTTCAAAAGCGCGATGCGAGAATTAGGAAATCATGCGCAATTATGAATGTCCGGTACGGAATAGTACCTAGTCAAAGGTGAGCATCCAAAGCACTGGATAGATATTACTGTTTGCCTGGCCTATTCAAATACATTAGCCAGAGGGGTGTGGTAATAACTGGTGTAAGCAAATTGACCACGGTCAAAAATGCATTAACAGAATGCACTTAAGCCAACATTTTGGGATGGTCTCGTTCCTAAGTCGGCTTAGAGCTTCGGTCCAGAAAATAAATTTATCGTTGGCATACAGTAAAATACATACCAAACTCGGCCGGTGATAAATTTTCAAGACCTCAGTCCTTACTGAATTTTGAACTCGGCCTTCGGCCTCGTTCAAAAATCCAGTAAGGACCTCGGTCTTGAAAATTTATTTACCCCGGCCTCGTTCAGTATTATATATTACTGTATGCCTGGCCTATTCAAATACATTAGCCAGAGGGGTGTGGTAATAACTGGTGTAAGCAAATTGACCACGGTCAAAAATGCATTACCAGAATACACTACAGCCAACATTTTGGGATGGTCTCGTTCCTAAGTCGGCTAAGAGCTTCGGTCCAGAAAATAAATTTATCGTTGGCATACAGTAAAATACATACCAAACTCGGCCGGTGATAAATTTTCAAGACCTCAGTCCTTACTGATTTTTGAACTCGGCCTTCGGCCTCGTTCAAAAATCCAGTAAGGACCTCGGTCTTGAAAATTTATTTACACCGGCCTCGTTCAGTATTATATAATACTTCATCGATTATGATAACCAGCGCAGAAACAGACTACAAACCAATGAACTGCAACATAAAAAGATGCAGCAACGCCTCAGCCAAAGCGTAGCAAAGAACGATGGCTTTACAAACTGAACTTAGCAAGGATATTAGAGGAGGGCATTCTTAAAACAGGTTGCATGTGTCCAGCATGCTGACTAGTGACTCCTAATGCAAAATTGCGTGTGTCAGATATGCCTAGCGCCAATAATGTGGGCTGTCAACAGCCATTTACGCTCCCTGATGAGTAAGCGAAAGCCGTTTACTCGTAAACCCGGAGGTTGTAAGTAAGCTCTTTATGTTCGGGAAATTATTCAGATCTATGAAAAAACTAGCGTACAGTTGTTTGCATATTGAAATGATGTCATTTGTATGTTGCCCATTAAAAACCAAGTGATGAATATGCTAAATTAGGTCGATATTCCACACCAGGAAATCGAAGGGAAAGTGTCCTCACGCAATGATGCTATAAACCTTGCTATATCGTGATATTTCCCTTAAACTAATGTCCACTCGCCATTATGATCGTGAACACGACACAACCAGCGGCAGCCGTGTCACATTGCATACAACTTCCCTGTTCCTGTACATACAACAGCTCTTTCTAGCACCCTTGAACTGAGGAGTTTTGAAAACAATGATCGCTCTGATCTTAAGCTTGAAGCAAGCCTTGCAAACAAACATATTATTACGAGTAATGAATTCATTCGCTAGCTTTGTTGTAAACAGATCCTATTTCCTGACGTCTTGATTCGAACTGAAAAGTGAAAATACGATAGAAAATAATCTATTTTATGTAACTATCACGTGAATACAATTCAGTAGCAGTTAGGCCAACCGCAAAAAAAAGACAGCAGGTACAGCGCTCATATTCTGTTGGGATATAATGTCATCGAAGTGGCAACCGATGCTCCTACATCTGCCGGTAACGGGTGCGATAATGTCATACCGTACCTGTTGATAGGCGCGCCGGATCACCGAGTAGGTGAACGCCTGCGGCGTCTCGCTGGCGCGGTGCCGCGAGCGGTCCAGGCTGCGGCCGAGACAGGCGCGCTGGCCGGCGGGCGTCTCCAGCACGGTGGAGACCAGGGGCCGGGTGAGACCAGCAGCGCCGTGCGCCGCCGCGGCCGTCACCAGCGCCGACACCAGCGGCGCCGGCACCAGCGGCCGAACGCCGTCATGCACCAGCACCACGTCTGGTGCGGGCTCTGAGCCGGGCAGACGCGCACAATGGTCAGCTTGTGTATGTTACAGACATGTAGACGTCTGTACATAAGGGTGTTTTATTGTATGAGCTGAACCAATGAGTGGGAAACATGAGTAAATTATAAATGAAATAGGTGTTAAGTTGGGTGAAGGAAGAATAATGGAGACTGTCAGGACAACTACAACATAAACAAAGTGGCAGCCTATTCAAGTGAGCATTAACAAGGTGTTTTCCTCTTCAATTAGATATCATTACAAAGAAAACACATCACACAAACATGTTAAAAACTGCATCCAAGCACAATCGTGCACCAGAATGGAACCTGTTTCAATTACCTACTTAATTTGCTTTCTCACTTCTTGCTATTAGTTTGAAAAGCATACTCACCCTTCCCAATCTCCACCAGTTCATTGATGGCATCCAAGCCACACTTGATAGAACGATGCCTACTGGTAGACCCAGGGACATATATAACCCTGCTTTCTGCCAAAGGCTTGGTTATCTGATATTCACTTGCAAATGTCTGGTCAGTACTATCAACTGAAAGATCATCATTTTTATCTAACCCAGCAACATAATCTTGAACCAACGCATTGCCATCTGGCTTGTCTGCAGAATTTTTGTAATTTAGCTTTGGTTGTGAGCCAGAGGTCACTTGATCATACGCATCCAGCACATGGCACCACCATGAGGGAAGGTTTCCCACTCTAGTCTGGTCTGAAGTCACCACTATTACCTTCTTCACTTCTTCACAGGCCAGCAAGCTGGATATTGTGTAGCTTATCAGGGTGTGGCCCTGCAAAAAAAATGTTACAAAGTGGCACGCAGTGCAGATCAAAATGCAAAACTGCATTAAAACTGATCACAAAGTTGGAGTTTTTTTTTAGCTTTTTTTCTTTCAAGATATTTCCTTTTTTCCTTCCCAAACAAGCATGTAGCTAAAATAATACAACTCAAAAAAAATTGCCAGCATACTTACATGGACAAGTGAAAATTGTTTTGGACATTCATCTCCGAACCTCTCCCCACAACCGGCGGCAGGAACCAACACCCAGGCATTAGGCATTGTTTATAACTTCAAGGCCTGCAATTTATAAAATGAGTCAAAACATTATTTCATTTATACGATTCACTTCAAATACATTTAGACAAAATCACACATTCACGAGTGGCCAACCTCTTATTTCCATCAATTCTGAGGCCAGTGTTACCAACAGAAAAATAGCCACCTGCCGGAATTTTTTGCCTACAGACCGCTTCACATACAAGTGAAAATTGTTACGGCTTACGCTCCGTATGTGAAGCGGTCTTCAGGCAAAAAACTACGGCACGCGGCTATTTTCCTGTTGCTTAAGCTGGCTTCAGGTCTGTCTTTGTCTATGATAACATGCCAGTTTTCAGCAGAAAAGTAACAGAGCTGAATCCTTTCAATATACAAGAAACAAAAAGAAACATTTTACATTGCTAATGTAAGGTTAATACGGTTTACGCAATTATTTAACAAAAAACTAGAAAAAAACCATTGCCACTTGATGTTGTTGCCCGGTCAAGGTGCCAATTTCCTAGGCATGAATTCAGTTAGAAAGATAAGGCGAGAGCTGTCAATTAAATACAAGCAGCATTTCATATTTGTCTGGCCCTCTTCCTCCAGTGAATTCTCCATTCCAGTTCCAAATAAATAAAAAAAATCATGAGCATAAACACACACACACCAATGCAATAAATTCCTTAAAATCAAATATGTTCAAGTTTTCTGCTTGTTGAGTGTTTTTGGTTTTCGCTGCGGTGTCTTCGAGCAAGAAGCATGCAGCTAACAGCAGACTACTTTAAAGCTGAACATAATTCATTTTGAAACAGGTGCGTCAATTTCACGGACGTATAAATAAACGGACGTTTATTTATTTACACGGACGTGCTGTTACTAGACTGCTGCCAATTTATATGGAAGCATCGAATTCCAGCAGAAAGCGTCGATTTTTTTTCTCTACCGCAAGAGTAGTAAAGGAATCTTGCGCAAGACGCGTATTTACAAATTGCAACCGAGCTCCGCCGTAGGGTATTTTATTTCCGCCGTAGTGTATTTCACTTGGGGTATTTTCTACCATACATCTTCCTGAGCTTGGGGTAATTACAATTTGTCGGCGACGTTCAAAAATGATGCACCTTTTTCGCAGTATAGGTTATCGCATGTGCATATTTTTGCCTTTTGGTTGCGCTTTTCCCTCGCTCGTATGGGGCAGGCGTTGAACGGACCCCATCGGTTTTTCGTGAGTAACTCGCGTAAAAACCGTCCGATCGCGACGAAACTTTCAATACCCCCGATTTTATCAATTTTACACCTACCCTCTGAGAATTTCATGACCCTGACCCAAATGACCTTTGACCTGTGACCTATTTCTCGAGACCATGTTTGGCCCGAATCGCGATTCGGCGTATGTCGGCTCGCATTAGCCGCGCGTTTGCAGTCTTTACGTGGTTTCAAGCGTTGAAACATGTGATATGATGCTGGTCCCATGCATTAGGGTGGGTGTCAAGGTCACCTGAAGGTCAGGTCAGCTCAATGACCTTTGATGACCTCGGTTCACTTTTTCGAGTTTTACATGTTTCTAGGCTAGTTTCTGGAGCTGATTTCGAATTTAGCAACCATTTGAACATTACAGGGGGTGTAACGAAATTATCTGGGCATCTTTCTTCCCGCTGTAATTAAAAAGCAAAACATTCTGGTACTTTTTCCTTTAACCCGCGACCTGGTGGGGGGGGGGGGGTGGCTATTTTTTGCCCCCCTCCAGACTTTTCGATATATCTCCAGAACCACTGCGCCGATCGTCACCAAACTTTCAGTACCCTCCCGGACATCAATTTTACACATTGTGACCAAAAATTTTTCCAAAGGCTATGATAGGTTGGCCGGAAATGACGTCAGAGTGACGTCATGTTCTGCCGTTTTCGACTCAAAAAAGGGTTTCGCGGGAAGAGCTGTCAAGCCTATAGCTTTGCAAATACAGAAAAATGATACAGACATAAAAGCTGTAGAATGGACAGGGCTACAAAACTGCTATCTCAGATTTTTTAAATTTTTGGATTTTGACCCCCAAAAATCAAAAAATAGATTTTTGAATATGATAGCCGAAATATCAAAAAAGTTTTTTGAATTTCGAAAAAAACCGGAATATATGTGACAGTCCCTACCGCTTTCTATCTACATACCAAATTTGAGATCGATACCTCTTTTTTTGGCCAGGTTATAGCGAAAAAAACTGTTCAAAATTGATGACGTCAAATTTTCAAACTCAATTTCCAGCAATTCTAGACCTCGTAGCGCAAAACAAAGACCACCATTAGACTCCCCGTGACGAGCTGCATCGAATCAATACCCATTTTATGCAAAAATATCAACTTCGAAATTTGACCTTTTGACCTGACCTTGACCTGACCTCCACCAGAAAGTGACCTAAACCGTACCTGATGGTCTTATAACCAACACCATTGAGTTGGAAATGAAAAACTGGCCATAAAACATGCATCGCACAACCTTAGTAACGTTGGGTTCATGTGGTGACCCTTGGTGACCTTTGGTGACCTGACCTGTGACCTGACCTGGTATGACCAGTGACCTCTAACAGCAACATATCTACTAGGCAACTGACGCACTATCGCTGATTCTCGACAAAATGCGTTTTCCTCGGTGTTATAGCGCATTCCCTAGAAGACCCGTGAACGGTGAAACATTTCATCTTTGACCTGACCTGTGACGTCATCGGTGACCCCGAGGTCAATAAAATTTGGTTTCCTTCGACAAATTTGACAGGCCTTTCGAACGCCGTTTGAATTTTGCGGATCCGTCCAGTAGTTTCGGAGATACGAGGGGGGGCAAAAAATAGCCCCCCCCCCCCACCAAGTCGCGTTATAAATAGACCCCACCAGGGCGCGGGTTAACTAAGCATGTAGCCACCTTTCATAAAAATACAGTGGCGAATGTTCTGGAGCATTTCAGCCACTGGATTCTCCAGCACACTGGCTTTGATGCGGACCAACGCCCTCTAAACCTGCGCCTGCGGTTGGGCGGTGCTTGTGGCGGGCGTCTCTTCAGTCACCTACTGAACAAGAGCCCACAGGTTTTCGATTGAATTGGGATCGCGACTTTTTCCAAGTCATAAGCGTTAGCCCAGAATGATTGAAGGTTCTATCGGCATCACTTCCCGTTCTTTTAGGGACTTTTAAGTAGCGCGCCGCCCCGCATGAAGACAGCGAGGCTTGTATGTATGTATGTATGTATTGCTTATCTTTGGAGAAACCACACAGGCACTTACACTCCAGCGTCAAGCACAATCAAAGTAAGTTAAAATATGAAGCGAGCAGATCATTGTAAGAGGTCACACAGCCACACTGACATACCTATCGGGATCATTTGGACGCCAAACAACTGCGTATGCTTCGCCTGAACTTGGCCGCCCTCGACTGCCTCACATCCGGTGGCAGGCGGTTCCAAGTCGCAATGGCTCGGTGAGGGAACGACATTTTTGTGCACTGCAGACGACACCTAGGGATTTGTAGCATAGTATCATCAGCGGTGGAGCGCGTCGGTCTCAGCGATACCTGTGACCGAGTCTCAACGAGTGCCCTCAGCTGCCGAGATGCGTCCCTCTGCCGCATTACATGATAGATTCGCTGCACATCGCGCAGATCGATCATCGCGTCGAACGTAGGCCAGCCTAGCTCCAATCGGGCTTCCGTGACGCGGTCAAATTTACGGAGCCCTGTGACAGTTCTGACTGCGAAATTTAACACCTTCTCGATCCGTTTCCTGAGAGTCTTTGATTTGGGGGCCCAAACAGGAAGACAGTACATGAGTGTGGGGAACACCAGCGCCTGAATCAACATTTTGGTTGTCTCCCGAGGTAAATTCAATTTCCGAATAGAAACAATAGCACCACTACACTTCTGTGCCACTGAGCTAACCTGTTTTTCCCAGTTTAAGTGACAGTCGAAATGGACACCTAAGATCTTGATGCTTTCTGAGTGCTGAAGTGACACACCATCAAAGTTCACAACTAAATCTGATACGCTTGCGGTGTTTGCTGGGGTTCCAGCCAGCAGGAACTCGGTCTTGGTGGGGTTTACTTTGAGCCCGTTACAGCGAAACCACCGAGACATTTGAACTAAGTCGGACTCTATGTGACGTTTGACGTTTGAATCAGGCATACCGCTTGAATCAGGCACCAGTGCGCGTTCAGAAACCGAGCCCTCCTATACCGTCTGGTTGAGCGCCTCCAAACATTCATTGGCCAGTATGTTGCTCCGGTAATACTTGACGTTAATCGCGGTATTTTGTGACACTAAGGCTGGAGACTTCCAGTTTGCGGTTAACTCGCGTTTATTTTGGTGGCTAACTTCCTTACACGCGTGTAGCTGCCCACCAACTTTTACCCGGGGACTTCCATCCGCGGTTAACTGGTGGGTAGCTACACGCGTGTAAATATTTAAATGCCGACTTACACGCCAGTTTAAAGGGCTTCCCGATCAGCTGATCGGGACGCGGCGATCAGCTGGTCCAATGAACAAGTGCGTAATTCCGTTATTTATGGGACCGGTGGCCCCCAATCAGCGTTTTTACACATGCAATGACTACAGCCGTAACAATGGGATGTGGTGATGCATTAACCTAACCAGAACAGCGTTTGAAGCCGTGCCAATCAGCATCAATAATGCTAATCGCCTTGTATTATTTCACTCTGTATGGCCGACCGCCAGTCTACTGCATGATCTTGCAACAGCCGTATCTCAGATTACTCGTCTGCCCTCGTCGGTTCGTCTCCGTCACCCCCCGTCCTCACCCCCTCCCCGTCACTTCACCGGTGAGGCGTCGTCGGTGTCCAATTCAATGCCACACAAAGGACGATTATCACCGAGTGATCAGTTTAATATGTGCGTGTCGCGGGGGTGGCTGACGTTCCAACGGCGCAGGATCCGGTCCACCACCAGTGCCCATTTGCTGCCGTTTAAACCGCTAATGGTTCTTTTTGGCCGTCCTTTTCATATCTCTCCAGAGCTGTGTCAGCTGTTTCTAGTCCCATTTTTCTTCTG